CCATGAATTATGAAAATGTAAGTCAAATTTTTGTAGCTGTGAATATTCTTAAGTTCAGATTGTGCTGTGGCCGGTTCAGAGGCTGCATTCAAAACACAGATTTAACATGGTTGCTCAATTAACTCATTTTCTAGGTTTGCAAAGCGCAAACCTAATTTATGGTGCAGCCCACCATAAAATAACCTAACAAGCAAAAGCCAATAGGGGGAAACGGATTTGCTTATGACCCACAAAGTTCACTTAACAACTGCAAGGATTCGCTTAACAACCATGGTGAAAAATGTCATGAAATTGGGCAGGACTTCCTTAATCGCTTTGCTTAGCAAATGAAATTCTGATTCCCAATTATGGACGTAACTCGATAAGCTGGATAAGCTCATTTATGGAAAAAAAACACATTATGGAAATATTCTTTGTGGACTACTAACTTGATTAAGTGTGTGGTGTGACGATAGCCACTCATGGTGGCGCTACTTAACTTTTCACTTCTCCCTGTTGGCACCTGGGAGGGATCAGGATGACATCACAAGCCTGATGATGTCACTGCAGACGTGAGGTCACTCGGCCCTCTTCCCCGCCAAGCTCTATGGTTCTTTTCCAACTCTTCTGCCAGGTCGCAAAAGCGGAGAAGTTGAAACCGTTGGAGATCGACCTCCGTCGCCTGGAGGACCTTTCCGAATCCATTGTCAAGGATTTTGCCTTCATGAAAAAACGGGAAGAGGAGATGCGCGATACCAAGGGGGGGGGCGGGGTTTTTAAATGGGGGGGGGGGGGTTTGACCCCTGCTTTTCTGGACAGCTGACCCCAAGAAAAATGGCAGAACGTTCCATCTTCTGGATCAGCTGCCCCTTGCTTCCAACCTTCTCTAATTCTTCTGAACTCCCAGGGAAGCCAAAACTCAGTGTTCCTTAGCCTTAGCCACTGTGTGGACTTCAATTCCCAGAATCCCCCAGCCAGCGAGGTGAACAAGCAAGGTGTTAGGGTTCCAGCGATAGCCCTAATTAAAGCATGAACCTCGAGCCAAACTTCAGAAAAAAACTCAAAAGATTTATTAGGAGCAACATGCTGGCATTAAACTACTTAGGGCTGTAAAGCACTATAAAGCGTATATAAGTCTAAGTCCTATTGTTATTAACCTAAATGAAACCAACTCTGGCATACGTAATTCGCAGTCACTTATGGCCCTGTTTCCCTTCTCCCCCCTGGGTGTATCATAAATCAGATTCTCCAATGAAGCACATAGGCTGGGTGTCATCAATCACATTCTCCAATAAAGGATTTTCCCGGCCAGAAGATCCAGTCGCCTAGCTACAATCTTTTTAAGATAATGGTGGTATGTACTTCTGGTTTTACTGCTGATTCCCATTCCCCCTTGTTTATGGCAACTTGAAAACAGGCATAGGAATGTTTTACAAGTTGACATGAGGAGATTCAAGCTATGATGTCAATATGAGCCACCTGCCAGTTCTTCTAACAAGGTCTAGATTAGAGATTCTCAATTTTGGCCGCTTGAAGATGTGCACATTTCATCTCCCAGAATCCCCCAACCAGCAAAGTATTGACTTAGATTGACAATTTGGGGTTAACAAACAAGGAGATTCCGACTAGACTTCAGTCATTGTCAATATGAGCCATTAACCAGTTGTTCAAGCAGGCTAGATCAGAGTTTCTCAATCTTGGCTAGGGAATTCTGGGAGTTTAGGTCTATTCATCTGAAGCATGCTGGCTGGCAAATTCTGAGAGTTGAAATCCATCCATCTTAAGCATGCTGGCTGGGAAATTCTGGGAATTGAAGCCCACCCATATTAAAGTATTCTGTCTGGGGAATTCTGGGAGTTTGAAGTCTACATATCTTCCAGCTTCCAAAGTTGAGAACTACTGAGTTGTCAAGAGAGATGGATTGGTTTAACTCACTTAACAATCCCATTACTTAGCAACAGAAGTTCGTAGTCCAAGGACTACCTCTATAGTCAAATTTAGTATTTTGGGTGAGTTTCCTAGTGAAGGCTTTGCAAAGAAACTGGTGAAGCCAATGATGATTTGGAATAATGTGAGAATCTAGTTTGCTGCGTTCAGGACCAGAAGTTGGGGGGTGGTCTTGGTCGGGGGTCCCAAACTTGGCCAGTTTAAGATTTGCGGACATCAACTCTCATAATTCCTCAGCCAGCCATGTTTAGTCCCCAAAGTCGGCCACTTTTAATACTTGTGGACTTCAACTCCCAGAATTCCTCAGTGTTCTGTCCTAGACTTCCCAAGATCATGAAGCAGACTCCTCATCCTGATAAAACCCCTTTTATTTAGGTTAAAGAGAATCCCTCTCCAGCAAAGTCCCGGCAAATGGTCTTTTCACGAGATTTTTACAACAACAGACCTTTATCAGGAACAGATCTTCACCCTAATGAATTGAACTAATTGCCACCACTCTCCTTGCTCCTTTTATTCCTATGGGAGAGGCCATTCACTGTCCACCTGTGCCCTTACTCCTGAGTCAACCCTTATTCCTTAACTATTCCCTTCTTCTGGCAGCTCTGCACATGCTCACACTGGGAACAGGCTCCAGCTGTTCTTCTGCCTCACTGATCTCTGTCTCTGAAGGCAGCTGATAACTGTCAGACATCTCTGGCCCCATCTCTGCCTCAGACAAAGAGCACTCATCAGAGCCTTCCCCAGACTCCAGGACTGGCCCATGTTCCACCTCAACTGCCTCACTGTCCGAGTCTGCCACCAGCTCTGCTGGCCACTGGCGGGCCACAACTCCCATCCAGTCATGTTGGCTAGGGAATTCTGGGAATTGAAGTCCACAAGTCTTAAAGTCACCATGGTCTTAGTAACTGCCATCACTATGTTGTTGATCCTTCCTCTGCTTTCTTTTTGCAGAATCCACCAGCACTCGAGTTTTCTACTTTAGCATTTTCTCCATGCTGTGCCTGGTCAGCTTAGCATCATGGCAGGTGTTCTACCTACGACGGTTTTTCAAGGCCAAAAAGCTCATCGAGTGACGGAGACCCAATCCAGGATCCCTGGTCTCCTTACCTGATTGTGCCAAGATCTCAGGACAAACCACTTTTATCCCCTCACTGGCCCACTGATCTCAATGGTGGGGGGTCAACACAGAAATTGGACCAGATCTATTTCGGGGCAACAGATTGGTTTGAAAAAACGGCCCGGCCTCTCTGTTTTGGGTGTGTTTCTTTTCTCTTGGACTCATCTGGGTGATTTTTCTCACCTTTTCTTTGGGATGGGGTTGGAGGGCGGGCATCCAATCTGACTGTTACACAATTTGAGCACACTGGATAATATTTGGAAGTAATAAATCTTGGTTCCTAGACTGGTGGCTGTTGGTGGGGAGAACTCATTTGAAACTCAAGCTGGGAAGAAAATTCTTCAAGGTCAGAACTCATCTCCCTAGCTCATTGTTTTTCCAACTTTAACATGCTTGGACTTCAGCTCCCAGAATTCCCCCAGGCTGCCTGGGGAATTGTGGGACTTGAAGTCCAGACATCTTAAAGTTGCTAAGATAAATACTGCTTTAAGCAGTAATGCCATTGGATTTAATTCTGGCTTAGGATGTTGTGTGAGCCTAGCAGTATACGGTGTATAAACCATGGCTTGATGGCTTTGTGGTTTATGATTAAGTGTGAACTCAGCCAGTTGTCAGAGCTGGCTTATTAGCAAGCCTTGGTTCCCATCCTGTGGTTTGAGAGAGCAAATTATTATTTTATGCCACGGGGTGTGTTTATACAAATATGTGAATATGAGCTGTTGGATTTGAAAAATAAAAAGGGGTCACTGTTGCAGAGTTGATTACCAATCAGGCATTGAAGATTGCATTGAAACAACACACCCATCCAAGTCCCTGCTTGCTGTGCTGGGACTACAACATACCTAATTCCCAACCAGGGTTGATACAGGTAGCTCTCGACTTAACAACAGCCCATTAAGTGACTCAAGTTACAACAGCACTGAAAAAAGTAATTTATGACTCATTTTCAGACGTTTTCAACATCCCCACAGTCATGTGACCAAAATAGTCTCTTGGCAACGGACTCATTACTGTCCCATAGTCCTGTTGATCCCCTTTTGTGACCTGACAAGCGAAATCAATAGGGAACCCAAATTCATTTAACAACTGGGTGACTAATTTCCCAACTATAGTGATTCAATTAACAACAGTGGCAGGACAAGTTTTAAAATGAGAAATTCATTTAACTGTCTCACTTAGCAACCATAAATTTTGGGGCTCAGTTCTGGTTGTAAGTCGACTACCAATATTTGTTACCCAGGATGAGAAAGAAATGGGAGTCAAGTTGTTCCCATATCTCAAAGGAGCTCAGCTGGAGAAATCTGAGCTCTACCAGGAGGAGGAAAGAAGGCACTCTGTGCATGGACAGAAGCCCCCTTTTTATTATTATTCCATTGTTGAAGAATTTGCCATAAAGATGAGCAGATGGATTCCCGGAAGGAGATATGTAGCATATGCACCAAACACAGCATGTTTCTATTGACTTCATTCTTTGTGTGGCTGGTTTTGTGGGTCCTCCGATAATTGTGCAAATTGAGAAAAAAGGCTGGAAATGCAACTAATTACTTGCAAAGCTTTATTTTTAAGGGGCTAACCCCTTGCTAGCTGTGAATCCCAGGACTGACCCTGTGTGTGAATCACTATATCACCCCCCAATAAATGTTGGGCTATCCCAAACCCAAAACGATCAGAATAAATAATCTCTCCACTGTGGACTAAATTCATAATATCCCTTATTTCAATAGCTGGCAGAGAAGACGAAAGGAAAATTTCAAGTCGGTCTCGGAAACTTGCCGGCGTGGGTCACTCTAACTTTTGGAAGTTTATGAGCGCGCTGAGAGGGACTCATTTTCGCGTTGCACCCATTGCCCGTCGTGGGGTTTCCAAGATAACGGGCTTCGCAGGCAGGGACTCTTTTTTGCGGTACACCTATTGCCCACCGTGGGGTTACCATAGCAATGGGCTTTGCGGCCTTGCAGGGACGACTTGCAGGGCCATGGCGATGGCGGCGTCTACAGGAGGTGCCGGCGACGGGTAAACAAACACCCTGGAAGCAACGGCATCTAGCCAGAAATATAGCGACCACAGCCTTTCAGGGCGGGAAAATGTGGGGGACGAAAAAAGGAGCGGTTTGTCCTTCATTCCTCCTCCTGGGTCACCTTTTAGGGGGAGGGATCCATTTATATGGAAGGCGGAGTGCATGGAAAGGAGAATATTTGGGAATTTAGCTCTGGATTGAAACTACCTTTTCCAACCTTTGGCAATTTGAAGATCGGTGGACCAACTCCCAGCCTGCATATTTTAAGGTGGATGGACTTCAACTCCCAGAATCCCCCATGTAGCAATTGAAGTCTTCCTATCTTAAAGGCACGCTGGCTGGGGAATTCTGGGAAATGAAGTCTACAAGCTACCAAGGTTGTGAAACGCTGATTTGCCATGTTAATTTGCCATATATATATATTTCTTTTCAACTTTTTTTCCTGTGGTTGCCAACAGTGTTCGCACCAGTTCCAAATGGCTGGATGCCTACTATGATCCAGTAGCCAATTTGCACACTTTTTCCTCATGTGTCAGTAAGTCTGAGCTCCTTTCCCCCCCTTCTCTTTCCTCTTTTTTTGGGGAGGGGTGGTAGAAGTTGTGGGTGCTCCAACATTGGAGGTTTTCAAGAAGAGACTGGGCTGTCCGGAATGGTATAGAGAATCTCCTGCTTGAATAAGGGATTGGACTAAATGATCTCTGTGGTCCCTTGTAGCCCTATGATTCCATGTGTCTAAACTGGCAGTGCGAGCTGTTTTTAGTGTCACAATGAAGGTTCTGGCTTAGAAACCAGGAGACAGTGATTTTTAAAACTCACTCTGTCTCATAGCCCAATCAATCTCACAGGGTTGTTGTGGAGAAAATAGGAAAAGGAAAAAGTATTAAACATGCTTGTTCCCTTGAGTTTTAAATATTCAGAAAGGGTGGGATAATGGAATGGAACATAGAATAGAATGGGAAACAATAGAAATAATAGATTAGAATGGAAAAGAAAGCAAAAGAAAAGAACTAACCTCAGAGAGCACCAAGGCTGCATAATTCAACCCTCAGCTCTGGAACATATTCCAAGATTCCCTCTGTCAGTTCTTGGTAGGCTTTGATAATAAAATTGTCCTCTCATTGACTGTTTATTTTCTTCCAGCTCTGGCTGACCTACATGGGGATGGAGACGACAAGGTAAAGAAAATGCCCCTACCAGAGAGAAAAAATGCCTAGCCAACTTTCCTCATTTCCACCCCGGATATAAATCCGCAGCCATTTTTAGTGCTTAGTGGGCACTAAACGGTTCAAAATGAAGGACTACCTGTACTTTTTGGGGGGTCCATCATAACTTTAAACAGTCATTAACCACCCGGTCATAAGCGGAGGACTATCTGTATCCACTTGGTGATGATTTAAAGAAGTCAATCATGTTATCTCTCTTACCTGCAGCTAGTGGTGGGCAATTTTGGCTCGACGGGCCATGAGATGAAACTAAAGGTCTACCAGGGTACCACCCTTTTGAGTGAAAACACCCTGCCGGATTTACCCACAAGCGTGGTTTCCTTTCTGATGGAGCTACACGAGCCCTGCACGCCAGCCCTGGCTGTGGCTTCTGGGCCGTATATCTACGTCTACAAGAATCTGCGTCCCTACTTCAAATTTACTCTGCCACTGATGGAGCCCAACCCAATGGAGAAAGTGGTCTGGGACCAGGCAAAGGAGGTGAGGAGAGGGAAGAAACAGGTTTTAAATGAGAGCATTTGAGTGGCACAAAAATGCCAAGTTTTGAATCTTATGGTCCTGCTCTTTGGGGAGGTAGGGGTATCTTTTTTCTCCTTCTTAAAAGTGTCTGTTGATCACTTATGTGCTGGCATCTCTTGATCCATGAGTGAGCCAGCTTGGTCTAGTGGTTAAGATATCAGGATAAAAACAAGGAGGTGTCAGTTCTAGTCCTGCCTTAGCCATGAAAGGTGACTTTGGGCCAGTTACTAGGGGATGGTGAGTTCTAGTCTTGCTTTAGGCATGAACACCA